CACAAAAACCCCATGAAACCCTTAGGGTCGCCAAAAATAATAATAACAATTTTTTAAAAAATGACTTGAAGGCACACAACAAACAACTAAGAAGGCCCAAATGCAATAGTGGAGCAGACCCTCCCATCAAATGTGCCCAGTGTCCCTCCGGTTTTGACAGTGCTGGGAAATTGCTCTTGTTGTGGACTACAACTCCCAGAATCCCCCAACGACTGTCTAGAAAAAAGATACCTTTTTTGAGCTCTAGTGTTGGTGCATATGAAAACGAATGCCACAAAAGGGGATGATGCTCTATGCCTCACAGTTGCTTCTCAAAGAGAGCCACGGAAATTCTCCAAATGTTATTTGTTTGAAAAGGGGAGCTGGATGTGAAAGTACTGGGTTTGGCGAGTTGATACTTGAAGCGACTGCTTTCAGTATTTTGTGAACAAGAATTAAGATTTTAGAACGACAGAGTCTTCTGGCACCTTGAAGACGAATCAGTCTTATAATTTGGCATAAGCTTGGAAGACTTGCAGCCAGCTTCCTCAGATGCATCTCTGGGCCGCCATCCACAACAGTCTCTGCCAAATAAAATTGGGTTGTCTTTAAGGTTCCAGGAAACACATTGGTTTTTCCTGGCCGCAACACATCCCCTCCTCCAAAAAATTAAGATTTCAGTTTCAGCAAACCGCAATTTCTGATAGTAGAGCTACCGCATTCAGTATTTAACAATAAACTCACTCCACATTTCCAATATCTTTATGTTTTTTTAAAATAAACTTTTAACACAGGAAAAAGCATAGTGCTGACTTTCAAGAACAGATTAGGAAATGTTTACAAGTTTGGAAATTCCAGTTGAAATCCCAATATTTTGTCAAAAATGTTCCATTCCAAATGTCATGACAGTTTCAGAATAAACCGAAATGGGATCATATGGTGGCATTTGGAAGGCCATCATGGGATTACTTTTGTTTTATAGTGAAGTCTACACATAGGTGATTCCTGTCTAGCTGAGCCTTGATCTGATTTAGATGGGTGAGCCAAAAACACAGGTAAAGTCTCAGGAACAAGCTTACTGGTGAAGATTATATGTATTTGAATTTTCATGAGCAAGTCAGCCTGATTAAAGAAAAGTTATTTGACTAATCACATTACAGTCATCCCTCCACATTCACAGCTTTGACTTTTCCAGATATGATTAAAATGTTATCTCTAGCAATCTCTAGGATCCTCCAGTGCAACTCTACTGGAAGTTGACCATAGAGTTGCGCTGGAGGACCTAGAGTTTATTAGAGAAAACACTTCTCTAGTCATTTATAGTGTGTTTCTATAATCAACCTCTGGAAATATTGACCACAGAGTTTCACAGGAGGACCTAGAGTTTCCTAGAGAGGTGTTCTCTCAGGTTAAAAAAATAGTTTTTTTTTAAAATTTGCAGCTTTTCCACATTCATGGGGGTCCTATGCCCCTAATCCCAGTGAATGTGGAGGGCCTACTGTACTTTGTATCAAGCCATCAATTAAATGTGCATAAGAGTTTAAAAAACACACAACCTCAATGCTCACAGAAAAAACTTCCTCTGTTTTTGGATGATGCATACATGTGCAAAGCATCTGGAAAAGTGAAAATCCCCAAACGTTGTTTTGTAACAGCTTTCCTGAAGATTTTTCTTAATAGGGAAGTATGATAGCATCAATGGGAAAAGGAGAGGCTTAGAAATTAGTGTGATGGGAGCTGGCAAGGCAGCAGTCACATTTTTTGTGACAAGTTGCCATCCTGTGCACACTAACTAGGCTCAGTAAATCCCACTGAACTACACAGGATTCACTTCAGAATTATCACACATAGGAATGAACAAAAAGTCATATGTCATGTTTAAAACCCAATGTGTTCTTTAAGATTATTTGGTCTAGAGCTGTTTAATTTAAAAGTTTCAATGTCCTAGGTATTAAGTAGGAACATTAACATTCTAAAATTTGCAGATAACACAATATTACTAACAGAAACCAACAAAGACCTGGAGCAATTATTGAAGAGCATCAAGGAGGAAAGTGCCAAGGTAGGTTTGATGTTGAACATTAAGAAAACAAAAATAATGACCATGGAAGATCTACAAGAATCCAACCTATATAACAAGAAAATTGAGTCAAAGAGTTCCCATACCTTGGATCAAATATTAATCAGAACAGAGACTGCAGTCAAGAAATTAGAAGAAGGCTAGGATCGGGAAGGGCAGCTATGAAAGAACTGGACAAGATCCTAAAAAGCAACGTCATAACTCTGAACACTATAGTGAGGATTGTCCAAGCCATCATATCCTCCATCAGCATGTACAGATGTGACAGCTGGACATTGAAGAAAGCTGACAGAAAGAAAATAAACCCTTTTTGAGATGTAGTGTTGAAGAAGACTGTTGAGGATACCAAAAGAATCCAGACTATAAAGAGTGTGATTAGACAAGAAGCATCATTATATGCTGTCAGCCTCAGGGGAAGGCAATGGCAAACCTCCATAGGGTTGCCATAAGTCAGAAATGACTTAAAGGCAGACAACAACAACATCATTATATGGATGAACGACATTAAGCATATTAACAGTAAGAATAATATTCTATGAAGGCAAATATTAAATCATTCCCTAGAGAGAAAATGTTTGAAGTTCATAATGATCTGTCCCATTCCACTATATGATAAAGAGACCCTTCTATTATGACCTCTCTGATTTGTATTATGTTAGAATTCAGAGACATAGCTTTAATAATCTGGAACATCAGTATGCAAAGGGATCTTGTAGCGCCTTTGGGACTAACTGTACAAAAGAAGTTGTAGCATAAGCTTTTGTAGACTTGTTTATGAACCTTATGCTACAACTTCTTTCACACAGTAAGGGTCGGAGCAGACCGTCAGGAAAAAGTGTCTTGATCCTGTGTCTTCCACTCCCAAAACAGCCCAACACCCCTGGGTAGTCTGCCCAGTGTGGCATAAAGCTGCACAGCTGGATTATTATTTTTTGTCACCTCCACACAGTGCATCCACACCATCATACACACCACCTACAAGCTCCAATTACCTCTCAATTCCCACCCAGATGCCATCCCATTGGACACCCACCCATATGATTGGCCATACAGTCACACATGCAATGCACCACCTGTACAACAGCATCATTATATGTGCATCAGTATGCAAGTGATGCATTGGCAAATCACCATAATGGAAGTACCCCATACATGCCCCCTCTAATCCCCTTCACCCCATGCCCCCTTGTTAGACTTTCTGGTTTGTGTATGTTGTAATTACATCCATTGTTGCTTTGCCGGAGCCCTGCATGGGTGCCAGGCTGTTTATATTCAGGTGTGAAGAAGCACATTTTCCATGCTAAGTTGGAGTATCAGGGCTTCTTTTTGCTCCAGTTTTTAGCCCAGGAGAATGACTTCATTCCACTTTCCACCTACTTTTGCCTTGTGTGTCATCTAAATGCCCTGCCTTGAAAGCAGCTGGAAGCCGCTTTATTTTGCCCATGTGTTTTACCCCTTAGTCTCAAAGGTATACAAAGGTATATCTGTTGTTAGTCACTCTGCACATACAGTTTCATGCCCCAGATTTTGACACACTAACCTCCAGTGGTAAGTGAAATAAATAATTTCCATCTGAAATGAATTGCCATATCACATCATGCCCTTTCATGTGACATAACTATAGCACTATGATTCCTGTTTAACTACCATGGTTCCATCCTATGCAGTTTAGGGAGGGTTATTTAGAATTCTCAGACAGCGAATTCTAGTGTCTCATCAAACTACAAGCCCCAGGATTACATACAATGCAACATGGAAGTGCAGTGCTATAACTGTGTAGTGTGAAAGGGCACCTACTGTTAAAAGAACAAAGTAAAACTATCTCATTTTTAATGTTGCTCAAAAAAACTAATGTTCTTCCAAAAAAAAACAAAAAACCACTATAGTAAGTTTTTATTCCAGTAGTCAACCTTTCCCCTTTAAGGGCCGAGGGACTTCAGCTCCCAGAATCCCAGAAGCTATTGGCCAACATGCGACTATTGGCCAACATGGCTGAGGCTTCTGGGAGCTGAAGTCCCTCGGCCCTTAAAGGGGAAAGGCTGCCTACCCCTGTTTTATTCAGTCTGTCATTTTCATTTTCTGAATTTCTAAATCCTCATACTATCACAAATAGTGCAATGAAAACACGGACTCCAATTTCAATCTGATAAGCATATATGCAGTTACTAATGGTATTTATCTTCACATGGGGCTGTTGTCTTAAGACTCAATACTTTAAATATATCCATAGTGCCATATACTTAAGCAAGAACATGTATGGCTACTGCTGTAGTCTTGAAAATCAGGAGAATGTTTTAAGTCAACATGTTTAGGGTTGGGGAAACACCAAAGAGACTTGTTGCACCTAAGACTAGCATATTATGTGGCATAAGCTTTTGTGGACTATATCTCACTCTTCTAGATGCATTGAATCTGGGCTGTGTTGTTATATGCCTTCAAATCAGCCCTGATTTCTGGTGACCCTCTCATAGGGTTTTCTTGGCAGGATTTATTCAGAGGAAATCTTCCACTGCCTTTATCTACTTGCCCAATATTACTCAGTGGGTCCCTGTGGCTAAGACTGGATTTGAACCTTGTTCTTCTGGAGTCCTAGTCCAAACTTACACCACTATACCATGGTGGTTCTGGGTAGGCACAAGCTAGCATGGGTGAAATGGAATAGGGATGCCTTTATAGGCACACATAAGAGTTTGATAAAACATGTGAATCAGCAAGCCTATGTGAGCTTCTTGGAAGTCCTGCTGTATTCATTGACTGGGATTGCAACATAAAACATCAAAGCTGTCTAGATTGTAGCAGTTGAGGATCAGGTCCAACTGCATGGGCAGACATTGACCTGATAACCATCTAATTAGCAAGATCCCAAATATACATTGGAAAATATTTATTGTTCACATAGGAGAATAGCTATTTTATCCTAGGTGTATACAACATAGAACTAGCACGGGGTAGTGGTTTGAACTCTCGACTACAACTCTGGAGGCTAGGGTTCGATTCCCTGCTTGGCCACAAAAACACACTGGGTGATCTTTGGAGAATCACACAATCCCATCCCCAGAAAAATCCATAATAGTGTTGCCTTAGGGTTTCTGTAAGTCAGAAACAACTTGAAAGCACACAGTGACAACAACAACACAACATTAATGCATGCAGTTCAACTAGCTGATAAAATCCTAAACTCAGGTAATTCATTTTTAGTGCAAATACTGCTGTGTAACAAGAGTGGTGCTTTGAATTCAGTGAGTCTTACTTGTGAAAAGACACATGAAGCATTCCACTGTATGGTTTGTAAATTAGAGCCCCACATAGGAAGCATAGCACATAATGTTTTACACTCTTCTTTGCTGGGAGTCTGTTTTTATTTCATTTAATTTGAGACTTTTGTGTCTGACTAGTATGAGTGTTATGTTCCAATCTGAGACTGTCTTAATTACTTCTGTATTAATATTATCAGTTACTATTTCATTAACTTTTGATAATGCACACACCATCATTTGTATTTTATAAAACCATTTTAAGATGAAAGGAGTAATTGCAATGTTCCTGTCAAAAGCAAGAAGTCATAATATGGGAAAGATGGTATCTACTCATGAGAACCTGCCTTAGGATCTTTGGGAGAGGGCTTTTTCTCAGTTTCATCATCCTTGTTTGGTGAGGACATAAGGCACAGCTTTCTTGGGCCTGACCTACTAAGGTTTTCCACCCCTGTTTACAAGTTAATAAGTTGTAGTCCAGTGAAATGTATGGTTGTTGTTTGTAATATTTTTGTAATGGTTGTTGTGCCTTATACAAATAAACTGTTGTTGTCCACAGATTTCTTGGCATCCCAAATGAGGTTTTGTTGGTCCCTCTCTGCTCTCTTTTCCTTGGCAAGAAAAGGCCTTTTATTTACACAAGGCTTCAGCTTTTACCTGTTTGGGACAGAAGGATTTTTAACTGAATGAATGTGTATTATGTTTTCTTTTTTAAATTTGTTATTGTGTTTTTACCAGTAAGAATAGGTGCTTGACCAATGTTCTGTCTCTTGTACAAGGGTACTTGTCTGGCTTGGGGTACTGTACAACTTGCCTTGGGTGGGAAGATAATATGTGTTACTCTGTCCCAAGCACCAAAATATTTGGGTCCAGAACTGGCCCTGGTGTGAGCATGCTAGAACTGTTCAAGGTTTTGTCTTTTGTTCTTTACAGTGATATTGTAGTGAAGTCAACTTCCTTTTATTATTTATAATATTACCAAAATCAGACATTTTCTATCTGATTCCTTTACAAAGACGTAAATTCATATTTTGACCATTTCTTGCCTTGACTACTGTAATTTTCTTTTGACTGGTCTTCCCTTATCTCATTTTAGCCCTTCAGTTTCTTGCAACATTCTGTTGCTAAGATTATCTGTTTGGTCCATCATTTTGATCATGACTTCACTTTGATATCTTTTCACTGGATGCATATTCCTTTTAGGATTCAGTTATAAGATGCTTTAACTTTTAAAGTCCTACATGACCTCAGTCCCTGTCACCATTTCTTTCCGACCTTATTTCTTTTTACCAGCCTGCTCAAGCTCTGCTTTCTAGAAACTCAAGGGTTTTCACTCAACCAATGTTTCCTCTACCTTGGCTTGGTTTTGTCTTTTTTCACTTGCTGCTCCATACTCCTGGAATTGCCTCCCTGAACATCTGCAGACTGCTCCTTCCTTCACTGCTTTTAAATAAATATTTAAGAAATATCAAGAAATTTGGGAAAGTTCAAGTTATCCAAAACTTGTGGAATTTTAATTTAATATTGACTTATAATCTTGCATATCCTGGTTATATGCATTTGTCAAGACACCAGATCCTATCTGATCTTGGAAGCTAAGTAGGTCAGTTTTCATTAGTACTTGCTTGGGAGACTACCAATGAATAATACCCGGTGATGTAGGCTATATTTCAATTTAATATTGTCTTTTGGTCCTGCAGAAGAAGAAAGCTGGGATATAAATAAAATAAATATTGAATATTTATTCAATATTTATTTCAGAGAAAGGAACTGACAAAGCCACCTCTGAGTATTCTTTGCATAAGAAAACCCTATGAAATTCATGGGGTCATCATAAGTTGACAGGCAACTCGAAGGCTCATACCTACAGTTTGCTTTATATTGTATTGTATTCCTTTTTGTATTTCCATCTGCTTAATTTGTTTTAAAATTATATAGTTTTACATTTTACATTTGTATTATTCTTTCCTTCCCCTATATATGTGTGTGTGTGTGTGTGTGTGTGTGTGTGTGTGTGTGTTTGTATTAGATGGTACATCTTTGGCAAGTTTGACTATTTTTTGTTGTTCTTTTATTTGTAAAATTCCATGTACGCTGGCTATATAAATTTTAAAAAATTACATATATACATGCAGAAACTGGAAAAATACATTAATATTCTTCTTTTTTTAAAAAAAATAGCATGGCTGTGGTAATTTTCTTGTTGTTCTGTGCTAAATTCTGTCCTTATGGGCACTTTCTAAATCAGAAATATTAGGGGGCCCATTAACTTCACTGGTGGAACTGACGTTTCAACAAAGGGTGCCTTGCCACTCTGTCACTGATAAGCAGCAAGTATAATAAACACTGAAGCTGAATATATCTAATAGGAGGCAACCACTTGAATTGTTTTGAACTACTTGAACCATCTAACACATACAAAGCACAGACACTCAACTCCATATTGGTCCCTAGTAAACAAGAACAAAATACGCCATAAGATGATACCATGATTTGGACCAACCAAAATAGCTCAAAACAGTGATCAGGTTTTCGAGTTTTCCAGAAATGTTACTTGGCAGAAACATGTACACTCATTTCAGGCTAAATAATGTCACTTTGTTTGTTTGTTTATTTGATTAATTTATATCCCACCTTTTCCTAATATGGGACCAAAAGTGGCTTACTGTATAAATCCCTGCTCCTACCTCTCTTTCGCCAGATACCTCTGCTCTCAACTCATCTCTGGTCTCATCCCATGAGAAAGATGGGAAAGAAATAAAATAAAATAAAAGATCTGTTTTCTTATTTTCTTACAGCAATGGTGTGTCTTTCCTTTATTTACCCCTCCATTCCTTTTATTTTCACTATTCACTAGCTTTTGAGAAAGGTTTGTGGGCCAAAATAGGTGAAACAGGTTGTTCTGTGTCAGTATGTAAATATTAAAATTCATACAGAATTTGCACTTGTAAAGCTAACCTTGCAACAAGTTCAGTTTTACTCAGAAATAGATCTCAGTGTTTTAGAGGATGCTTATTCCTTTTAAGTAGACATTGGATTGCAGCTGCAGCCACAAAAACTGAAAACATAAACCAAGGCCAATTGTAGCTAAGACAACAAGAATGCAAGTCAATCTAAATACATATTTTAAAAAATAATGATCAACAGGCTCAGTGTTCATCAGCTTACCTAGGCATGGTACCACTTGTTCATCTTCCATTTTAAAAAGACCCCAAGTAAATATTTAGGTCACTTTTGTTTAATTTTCTTAAATATAATTAAAATCAATGAGGGTAATAAGTGTTTTTCAAGGAATGGAGGCAGACAATAGATACTTTTTACATAGTGTGATAACTTAGATGGTATTTAATAGTGTCAGGTAAGTTAAACACGTTACCCCCATTTACATTTTTTCAAGACCTACAGTTTGCTCACCTGTAAGAAATCAGAAGATCTTTCTGTTTTGTTTTCTGACAATCATAGAAATGAAAACATTCTTATTTGCGTGAGCAGACATTTTAATTATGGGCTAATTCTTTGAAGTCTGGGTTTGAAGCAGGAAGGAAAGCATGCTTTGAAAGAAAAAAACAACCCCCCTAGCTTATAAAACAGCTGTACTTTTCAGATATTCAACTCTGTAAATATTTTCCCCATGGGAGCAGAAAATAAAATAAAAATGCAAATCTTTTTAAAGAACTTCCATTAAATATGGTCCTAAGAGCATTGCCTTATATGTGCTTCTTCCAGCTAACATGCATGGTTATAACAATTTTGAGATCAGAGAGAAATCTGTATTTCTGTGTGTATGCTTTTTGTTTTTGTTTTTCAGAAAAAGCATTTTTACAGATGTCTTTCCTTTGGGTTTCCTCCCTCCCTATTTCCTTCTTTGTTTTTCCATTAGCTAGTGAGCCTATCCTCTTTTAAATTTTATTTTATATGTCTCCATGAGAATCTCTAATGGAGTACAGCTATTTTTTATGAGGAAAAAAATGTTTACAATGCTGCAAAACTGGGTCACTAATGCTACAAAAATCATTCTTGTTTCCCCATTCCTTAGGTCATGAGTATAAATGGCATAGCTGAAAATAATTTTTTTGCTTAAAAGGAATTTCATAGGATTTTATTGGGAGTGAATCTTTTCATTCTTAAATTAAAAAATGTTCTGACTACTCACTTAGATCCCTCCATAGGCTCCACTCTAGGATTTGGGAGAAATGTCTTGTTCTTGTGATTTCAGAGAAGAGATATTGCTTCAGAAATCTTTCTGGTAAGTTTCTGGCTCCATGCATAGAGGCAGTGGTGTTGTACAGGTCCTAGTGCATATTCAGTGTTGCAAATGGCGAAAAGATTTCTTACACCCTGTGGGACTTTTCCTTTGTGCTTTCTATGAGTTGGGTTTAACAGTCCTGCGTAAAACTGAAATTCTACTCTGTGGACATACTCCCAAGGGCCAGTTCCCACATGCATGAAACGTCACCTGATGCCTCATCATTTGATGACTCAACACTTGATGACTCATAGACAGTTGATGAACCAACTTCATTGAAAATGTTTGCCACTGAGGTCATATAAATGTTTTAATGTTGGCTTAGGAGTTTATCACACGGGAGGCTAAGCACCCAAATCCTGTATAGAAACTAGATTTAAATTCCTAGGATATTCTGCAAAAGCTAGGAAAGCTTGCAATAACAACACCTTGTGAAAACCTTCATTCTACTATCAGTGGGCAGTACCAACCTGGAAATACAAAGTTTTGGCTTCCTTAATGAGGATCAC